GTGACACGTGTGCTATGTGGAGTTAGCACTTCCTGTGACAAGTCGTTGTCATGGTAACCAATGCATGCCAGTGCAATTCAAGCAGTTTAGTGTCTGCCTATTTCGAAGAAGTTGTCCACCGTTTTGTGCTTTCAACGTGGTGCTTTCAGTCCTTCAAGACTTGTTGCATTAAATAAGCACTTCTGTGAGTGTTTCTCTAATTTAACAATAAGTTTCTTGCACTTGTTTAAAGAATAACAAACCGATTTACCATAAATTGAAGCTGGATTAAGCGTATAGTGTAGTTATGTGTGCCTCACACATGAATACTGAAGTATTACACCTTTAGTTTCACTCAGCGAGTGAAACACCGAGTTGATCACCAGGTTGCTGTGCTTGTATATATGCAGTCAGAGTTTAGATGAATTTCATTGATCTAATTATAATTTACAAGGCCTTTATGCTGTAGAAAGAGGAGCATCACTCAGATTTATATAACACTGTACTGAGATTTATTCAACAGAAACAGATTAAACAATACTACAATTTTGTGATTTCTTCACTAAAGCAGATGAATGCATTATGGTACAGTTTGGACATGCCGCTGAGCTGAGTTTCCTTCGTCAAAACAGACTTCTGCTTTAATACTGAAATTATGGTTTCTTTATGTTAGAAAATCGTCTAACATATAGCAAATCGTCAAATGGTAGCTGTTTTTAATGCCTGATCAAAAGTTACTGATAACCTGATACTACTACTACTAATAACAACAACAGAACACATTACATAATTGTTGTTATTAAATGAAATATCTGGACATTTAACACTTATTTAATAACATTACAGATTGATCTGAATAAACAGGGCATGTGCAACTTTGGTGTATAAGACAGCAGGCTAACCAGGTAGCTGTATTTTGTGCGAACGATATAAATCATAACGTGATTTTGTAGAAATTGTAATCAGGTGCTAAAAAAAGAGTACCCATTAAAATGTCTTTACATCAAGGACCCGTTCATGGTATAAGCGCAGTGTTGAGCTAGTAAGGAGCATTTTGATTGGTGAATTAAAAGCTCACTGTGATTGGCTTAACGGAACATCCTCCAAAAATATATTTATGAATCTTAACCTGCCAGGAAGGTCTCAAAAATACAACACACAAATTCAAAGCAGTCCATGCACGTGTGACGATTTGCAAATGCAGATTCAACGATCTGCGTAAATACATGTAGCATCATTCATAAATGTGTGATGGAAATTAATTCATGAACTTGATATATACATATTTGTGAAAACATTTTAAATGTATTTAGGTAAGATGGATTTGTGTGAGCATTTGGGGAAATATTTAGGCTTTTATTTGTGTATTTATGAATTGTGTTTTGAATTTGCGAATCGGATTTTGTAAATGTAAATTGTGCTGTGCATTTATGAATTTTGTTTTGTAAATGTATTATTTTTTAGGCTGATCTGGCTCCATATTTCTTCACTAAAATGAGATTAACCTTACACTGATACCATTTAAGCACGAAGTGCATACATACTCTTTCAATCATAATAGAGATGCCAATTCAAGCCACTACTTTATCTGCATATAAACAAGCCAGCAAATAGGGACACAGATGCGTATCGCAAATCACGCCCTATTCTTACTTGGATTATCAAACACACACTTTTAGGTTGACAGTGTTTTATGCCCATTATTCTCCACCATTATATGTAGCGAATCAGCTCAAAGGGGAAATATGAATAATCAATCATAACTAGTTATGATCAATTATAAATATTTAGATCCGCTGTAAGTATTTACTTGACCTCTCAGTGTCAGCTGTCTGCAGTGGTGTATAAATTATCTGAAAGCCATACTCAAAACTTAAATGATTTTAGCAAATGGCTGCAATATAACAAAGAGTGAAAAATTTAAGGGGGTCTGAATACTTTCCGTACCCACTGTATATGCATATGTGTGTGTGTATAGATATATGTGTATATCAGTGGTCAAACCTGCTTTCCTGCAGTCCGTGTTCTTCTGACTATTTTGTAGCAAATAACGAATTTGCTTCGGTGAAATGTATCAGAGTAAAAGTATACATTTTAATTAGGAAATGTAGTGGAGTAAAAGTAAAAGTTGACTGAAATATAAAAACTCAAGTAAAGTACAGATATTCCCAAAAAATACTTAAAGGGTTAGTTCACCCAAAAATGAAAATTAGCCCATAAATTACTCACCCTCAAGGCATCCTAGGTGTATATGACTTTCTTCTTTCAGACGAATCCAGTCGGAGTTATATTAAAAATTGTCTTTGATCTTTTAAGCTGTTTAATGGCAGTTAGCGGGTGTTGCAATGCTTCAGTCCAAAAGAAGTTAAATAAAAAGCGCCCAACCATAAAAAAAGTGTCTCACATGGCTCCTGGGGATGAACAAAGGCCTCCTGTCAATGCGTTTCGATGCATTTTTGTAAGAAAAATATCCATATTCAAAACGTAATAATCACTTTAATCTAGCTTGCGCCAACAGTTGTACACGGAAGAAGCTCCGGGAGGATGACGTATGAGGTCGGCGTTGCGCAAACAGTTTCAGGTAGCCAAAGCTAAGTTAAAGCTTCTGGTTGCAAAGCAGTTGGAGAGTTTTTGACTGTATAAGTAATAATTTAACTCAGATTTGGCTGTATTCCCCATCCTCAGCTCTCACTATCTTTGATCACAGGCAAGTGATTTTGTCCAGGAATCATAAAATCTTAATCTCAGGGATCAAAATGCTTAAAAATAAATAAATAAATAAATGATGTGGTTACAGCATTCATTGGATCTTGCTCTTCCAACTTGCACTTTATGTGTGTGTGCATCCATGTTGCCAAGTAATGAACATGCTTGCAGCGCAGCGGGATCACGTAATTTACGCAGAAACAACAACATTCTAAAGGTGCATTCACACCATATCGTAATAACGGTGATTACGAGATACCAACTTGTAAAAAGCGTTCACATCCTCGTAGAACTCGTAATTACAACTTGTGAACTGGGAGTTTTCCGAGAGCTACAACTTGGACCACCTGACCACCTCTGATTCATTATCCACTATGTTTAGGCATAGTACGATAGTTCCGAGACCAAGTCCAAGGGTGTGAACAGCTCCATGTAGAACATCAACAGAGTCCAGACTGTTCAAGCTCCAAAAAAGAGGTGAAACGAAGAAAGACCAACTTTGGTGTTATTATTCTGACTCTGGATGATGGATGAGGGCAAACAATGTCCCACAGTGTTGGGGGGCTACTAGATGACTGAGAAAGTGGTCTAAATATGCCAGGACATCCAGGGAATCTGTGCTGGATCCATTCATTTGACGTTACTTGGTTCATCCTATAGGGTTGGGGAGTTTATGGGCCCAGGTGGCATGACACAACTTTTAGTCTCATCAGACTGCATAAGGAAATAAATGATGACAGAATTTATTTATTCATTAATTTTTAATTTTAGGGTTAGAGTTCTAGACACTTATCTGTAGCTAAAATCACAATTCATATGCGAAAACAATCGATAAACAAACATGCTATGGGTTGGCATACTGTAGAACTTTGTGAATGATGGGTGTTCCCGTTCTGCCGAAAACTGTGGAGTTCTGAGAGTGCGATGTCTGATGGGGCTAGTTATCTCCTAGCCTGCTAGCATTTCAGCATCCTAAAACAAATATATGGATCTTTCGTTTCATTATTTGGAAATTGTGATGCATCCTTTTAACATCTGCAAAGTCATCTATAGTTTAAGAAGTGCATATTTACATTTAGGGATGCACGATATATCGGCGGCCATATCGTTATCGGCCAATAAATGCTGTTTTTTATATTATCGTTATCGGTCCGATAACAAAATTCGGTCAATATCTTTAAGCCGATAAATTGTATTATTTCCGCTGGTTGAACCACTTCACGTGCTTGCTGCTGGCCACTAGGGTTTTGATCGTCGCTTCTGTGACGTCGCACCAAGCAGACGCGCGCGTTACAAGAGCTGCTGCTAGAGAGAAGATAACATGTCAGCGGTGTGGGAGATTTTCGTCGTGAAAAAAGAGGACACCAGACTTGCAATCTGCAACAGCTGCAAATGCGAGGTAATGCAAGGGGGTAGTAGAACAAAAAACTTCAATACTACTAATTTAATAAGCCATCTGAAGTTTCGCCATCCCGAAATTGATAAAGATTATCAGACGAAAGTCACCAAACAAACAAAAAGTTGCCAAACAAACAGCGTCACCCACTACCAATAAGCCGGTACAACAAACACTTGACAATATGAAGAAATTTGACAAGGACAGTGCCAAAGCAAAAGCCATCACATGCAAAGTTATGGAAATCATTGCAATTGATGACCAACCTTTCAGCATTGTTGAGGATTTTGGATTTCGTCGGCTTATCGAGTTTATTGAACCGCGCTACTCGCTCCCTAGCCAGTGGCACTTCGCTGACATTTCGCTCCCCGCTCTATACAATGAAGTGGCAGCTCACATCCACATGCTTTTGGGCAAAAATGTGACACATATAAGTTTCACTACTGACATACAGTATGGAGCTCTGACGTAAGTCCAGTGAGTATGTTGAGCCTTACTGCTCAGTGGATTGAGGAAAACTTTGAGATGAGGAGAGTAATTTTGCATGCGCAAGAATGCCCAGGCTCGCGCTGCTATAGCGAGGGCACTCAAGAACATGTTCGTTCGGTGGAACATAACTAAAGATATGGTACATGCTGTGCTGCGAGATAATGGTCGCAATATGGTTAAAGCCATCGAAGACTGTAGATTGAACAGTCTTGGCTGCATGGCTCATACTCTCCAGTTAGCCGTGCATGACGGAGTTCTGAGCCAGCGCAGCATTTCCGACTGTATGGCGATAGGGAGAAATATAGTCGGGCACTTCAAACATTCTCACCTTGCCATGTCCCGACTTGGAGAGATACAGACAGAGCTAGGACTGTCAAAAAAGATGCTGCAACAAGACACTCCGACACGTTGGAACAGTACGTTTTATATGATGTCGAGTTTGTTAGCACAGAAGCGAGCACTTGGTGTATATGGGGCAGAATTCGAGCTTCCCGCATCTTTCAGCGCGTACCAGTGGGGCCTTGTTGAAAATGCAGTAACACTGCTTGCGCCTTTCGAAGAACTGACGAGAGAAATAAGTTCACACACAGCAACTGCTTCAGACGTGATTCCCTCTGTTGAGGCTCTGAAACGTTTACTGAACAAGAGTCTTAGTACAGATAGTGGTGTGAAGACGACAAAAGCTACTCTGCTGGAGGCTGTGAAGCAGCGGTTTAACGGCATATACACCGAGCCTTTGTACTTCTTGGCAACGATCCTGGACCCAAGGTACAAAGATAGCTTTTTTGATCAAGCCACCAAACAGCGAGCAACAGAAATGCTGCTGAGACAACTGAACAAGATGACAGAATTTGAAAATAGCACGGAGAAAGAGAGAAATGAGTCAGAGCCCCCTTTAAACAAGATGTGCACCGAGAGCGACGGAGGCGCAACATTCCTGCTTGACATGTATGGTGAAATTCTTGAAGAAAATATGGCCACAGAACACCAGACGCACCAAACATCTCTAGTAGGACAGCAGGTAAATTATTTTTTCCCCCTCATATTTATAAAAAAACAAAACAAAAAAAAAAACAGCAAAATAAGAAATAACATTTTATTTGACATCTGTAATATAGAGTACAAAACATGCTCTAATGTTTTAGCTTCACTCTAAAAAATATGATCAATATGACATATACATTACTGTAACATCAAAATAAGTTGAGCAGTATTCAACATTTATAATAAGTTATATAAATAAATATTTTTTTAAATTTCAAATTTGATAGTTTACACTTTATCAACTACTCGTCCAGTGAGACGTTAACGTCCGTGTATATTAACGATTCTGTTCATATTACTTCGTGGCCAATGACACATAAACAAAATGGTAATCTTATTCATTTTGAGCAAGGTAACAAGGATCTTGGCAGAGTTTTAACTTTAAAATTTTCACGACACCAGACAATACTTCTTTATAAATGAAACAAGAATTTATTGCCTATTCTAGATTACATTAAACTAAGCTAAACACACACACACACACATACACATACACACAAAAGGTTCAGGAAAATGAGTCAACGGAGTTTGCATGAAGTTTCCAAAGTTCTAACACTCGTTTTCCACGAGTTCTTTCAATTCAACCTGAGAGAATCACAAAGCAGAGATTTATCTTACGTTTAATACCTAAGATCATTTCAGCACTGATTTCAGCATATAGGAGACTTCTGTTTGTTACTTGCGTTTGTGACAGCTGAGAAGCGGAGGGGTTTCCTCGTTGCCTGAGACGACATCTGGATGACGTAGTTTCTGGGGATGCCTTCCTGATGAATGGGGTTTCCTGGTGATGCAGAGGCTCTGGTAGTTCTTCTGAAAGAGTCTGAGTTTGCAAGACTCTAGGCTTTTGAAGATCTCTGGCAGTCACAAAGTTTCAACTGAAGTGTTTGAGTTCTGGATGACCGATCGTTTGATGGTGCCGCTTGTGAACACAAGGCACAAAGGCGAAAAGGCGAAAGGCTCCGTTTTGCATTGGGTTTTGATCCACTGCATAAGTCCGTCCCCCAGATCATTGTTCCGATCAGACATTACTTGCAAGGCTTAACCACGCCCCGCACTGTTCTCTTGATCAGGCATGGGTCACATGTTTCCCATGGGGAGTATTTCTGCAAGTTTTAATAACTTCTTATAAACAATATTATCACCAGAAAATGATGCCGGATACCAATTTTTCATTCATACCACTGTTCTGCAGTTATTACACGCTTTCATTCAACACTAAACTTAACATATCAATAGCTTTATCTGCTAAAAGGGGTTAAAAACAGTCTTCCTTTGTCTCTCAAAGAGAAGCGCGTGTTTTCCTGGAATTTAGAGAAAGGGGAGCACAGAGAGAAACCCTGAGGTCAGGGAGGTCGTAAAAAGTTCTGGTCATAGACCTGCTGTTCTTCTCATTTGGACGTGGAGATATAAAATTGTCTCTTTTGTTGACGGGATTATCAATTTATGTGTTAAATGGTCATGGGTATCTGGTCCCTGAAAGCCCGTAAAACAAAGATAGTTTGTATCCTAGTTTGAGTTGAGGTCTTAGCACTGCTTTTCTTTGAGTCTCTTGAGAAGATAAGCCAAAGGGGACAGTGACTGCTGAGACACTGAGCTGAACCTGTATTAGTTTTACGACCGCAGATGGCTGGGGAGGAGAATCTTTAGTTTTTCCGGTGGAATGCAGAGATTCAATGTTCGTTTGTGTCTGCTCACAGAGGCCTTACATAGTTGTGAATCACAGGTGTTTTATATATGAGATGAGGACATGACTGCAGCTGGCAATGAGGCCAAAACCAGCACATCCAGTGCAAGAAGGCTTTTTTTTGTATAAATATTCACAAAAATATTGTGATATATTATCACAAATAATTGTTCTTGTTTTCACTGGCAATTCACTTTGACTGGTGTATCTTTGAGTCTATAATTAATATAAGTAAAATACTTAAGTACTTTTAAAATCAGATACTTAAAGATTTTTACTCAAGTTGTTTTGGAATAGACTTGTAACTTGTAATGAACTAATTTTCACTGTAAGGTCTCTGTACGTTTACTCAAGTATGATTTTCAGGTACTCTTTACTTCTCTGGACACCTCTCATTGTTCCCTGAGTTACAATGTAGTCTCTTAAAGTATCCCTCTCTCCTTCTCCAGGTTCACATCTGAAAGACGATCTAAGGCTGAACAACAGGTGGCAGGGTTCAAGACTCTCAGTCAGAACAGCATTGGATGTTTGTTGCAGATTCATGGGCCTGAAAGACCATCTGGATGATGGAACAGGCCACATCCTTGAACTGGGGCTGGATCTAGACTACCTCCATATGAAGGCTACAGACCAGCAGACTGGCACTGACGTCAGACTTATCATGGACAGTGGTTCATCTGACACAGGTGATGTTGTTGCCCCCTGCACTAGGAGCTGTAGTTCTTCTCCACAAGATGACTCAGAGGAAAGTGCAGGGTCAGACAGTGAGCCTGCGCAGAGCCACAGTCATCCTCTTGTCAAAACGCTTGGTGATGGGTCCATCCATGCAGTCCACCCACCACACTGTAGGTCTCCAAGTCTGGATATGGATTCACTTGTTCTGGATATGATACTCCAAGAGCCTGGCCCTGTGGATACACTCAGGGAATACCAGACAAAGATGGAGTTTGCCCTTAAGCTTGGCTATGCAGAAGACTTGGTTCGGCTGGTTCTGAACAAGCTAGGGTCAGACACACTGATCAATGATGTTCTTGGGGAGCTGGTAAAACTGGGCAGTAAGCCGGAGAATGAGGGTGGGACACAGACTCTCTCCCAATCCACTTCCACATCATCATCATCATCCTCTGGCACATCTTCTTCCTGCAGTTTCTCTTACTCGCTTGACTCTCGCCGGTCAGAGTCCCCTTCTCTGGATGATAAGGATAACCTCCGCCCCATTGTTATTGATGGCAGCAATGTGGCCATGAGGTGAGAATTCAAAAACTAAAAAAGCACATATAATTGTGTGTTTTGAAATAATATTTATCCTTGATAAATTATTATACAATCCATTTATATAACAGACCTGAAGTAGTAGGGGTTATACTTGTGGTAATTGTAATGATCACAAATATAGCTGCAAGCAGCAATTAATGAGCCAGGCATCTTAGCAAGCTTAGCAAGGATGGCAGGGAGCATCAGACCAACTACAAAAAGGAATAATTATAAGGCATTTGTGGATGATTTTAGATAAAATGTTTGAAAACCCATAAATACAATTAATTGTAATACAATTTAATTCTTTATCACTTTTGACCAATAGGTGGTGGTTTTCACCAAATTATGTGGTGTGATCAGTGTGGGGTAATAACACACATTTGGTGCAAGTTTGCAAAACCATTGCAGAAATAAAGCATCAGATCCAGTTTGGCACCAACTTTGTTGTGGTAAATAAAACCAGTTTGGTCTATTGACAAGGAGATAAAAAAAAAAAGGTTTTCAAAGAAATTCAAAATGGCAGACAGAAAGTTCATCAAAATATAACATAATTGCTATTGTGATTCTCTGCATGACCCAAGATATCTATTATTGACAGTCTCATGAAATTGGCTAAACTAATCAGCAGTTATTGGCATTTTATAAAATTTCATTAAAAAACAAAAAAACAAAAACAAAGTGGCGCTGAATCGAAACGTTTTGAGCACCTTCAGGCCATGGTGACAATGCTGCATACTGACCAATGCGTTCATTAAATATTTTATGAAAAAAATAAAAATGACTGATACCCAAAAAGGAAAAATTGGGTAAAACAAACAGATGTTTACTAGTGCACCATGCTTGCATGTTATTTTAGCCTGTGTAGTATTTTATGGGAGAAAAGACAGAGAGACACGGAGCTATAATGTATGCCGTCTTTACTGTTTGTTAACTTCGTCAGCCTGGCGCTGATACAACTCACAGTGCATGCACACAATGGAAATACCGTAATACATGTAACACAGTTGCACTAATATACCACACTCCTCCCTCCTTAGATTGGAACCTAACATAACCTAAGCTTAATTTGGTGTAGCTTTAAACACATATATCTTAATATTAACATAACACTTTGAACTAATGTGTTTACTTTAACAGTCTTTAACTAGAAACTAAGACCTAAAGATTAAGTCTTTGTGGTGACTTTCTTTGCCTTTTGGGATAGCACCGTTAAGGGTGTACTTCAGAAGATTGATCAGGTTGAGCTGCTGGATCAGATGTTCCAGTTCTCTGAACTGGCAGATCATCAAAGAGGTCATCACTGATCCCTTCACACTGCTGTCCTGAAGACCTTGATGGTAACATGTGGTCCACATGTACTTTAACTTGCCTATGTCCTACTTGCCCACAGTAAGTCAGAGGTCCTCTGCGCTGCAGAATAGTGCCTGGGATCCAGAGCTTTTTGGGATGTCTGAAGTCTCGCTTAGTTCTGTACTTAGGTGGAATGACCACCCGTGATCCCCAAAGAATGCATCCTTGGGCTGTGGACAACTGATCTTTCCTTTCATAAAAAGGTTTGAGATTTGGATTAGGTACAAATTTAGGCTACCCAGTCAGTGTGAGATCCAAGATCTTTGACAGGATAGGGTCACGTCTGGTCTCTTCTGCAATGTCTTTCGCTGAAATAGGCAGTTCTTCCACATGAGAGATTAGAAACAACTCCTTCATGCTCGTCCTCAGAAGGACCATGTTTGCATGGAAGATGGGATAATGCGTCTGCATTTGCGTGGTCTCAGGAACGACGGTACTATAACTCATAGTCATATGCCAAGAGAAGTAACGCCCACCGTTGCATTCTTAATGCAGAGTTGGAACTGCGGACGTTGGTCCGAATATGGCCAAAAGTGGTTTGTGATCTGTCAGTAACACAAACTTTCTTCCATATAGATGCTTATGGAATTTCTTTACACCAAAAATTATGCTCAAAGCTTCCTTTTCTATTTGAGCATAATTCTGCTCACTCGATGTCAGGGTCCGCGATGCGAATGCGATCAGTTTCTCTTTTCCTGAGGGTAGGATATGTGAAATGACTGCACCCACTCTGTATGGAGAGGCATCACAGGCAAGTCGGAGAGGTTTTCCTGGATCATAATGTGCAAGGCATTTACTGTTCAGGAGTCGTTGTTTGCAAGCTTTGAATGTCTCTTCACAAATTGGCGACCAATTCCACCTGGTGTCTGCTTGCAAAAGCTGGTGCAAAGGATGCAGTAATGTTGAAAGGTTGGCCACAAACTTTCCATAATAATTAAGTAATCCTAAGAAGGACCTTAATCCTGAGACATTCCGTGGAGCCGGTGCATTTACGATTGCTTCAACTTTGTCTTCAGTAGGATGTAGACCATGAATGAATGAATGAATGATGCATTTATATAGCGCTTTATTGTGTATTGTTGTACACCCAAAGCGCTTTACAATCATGTGGGGGGGGGTCTCTCCTCAACCACTACCAGTGTGCAGCATCCACTTGGATGATGCGACGGCAGCCACAGAACAACAGCGCCAGTGCGCTCACCAGACACCAGCTACAGGTGGAGAGGAGAGAGAGTCATAGAGCCAATCAAGTGGTTGGGGATTATTAGGAGGCCAGGGGGGCAATTTGGCCAGGACAAACTTGCTCATCTGTCCTGTACCCCAAGTATTCCACTGAATCTTGGAGAAAAGCACACTTTGCAAGTTTCATCCTCAGTCCGTGCTTCTCTAACCTGGCCATTACCTGGTCCAGTACTGCTAGATGTGCTTCCTCAGTAGGTGCTGACACCAAGATGTCATCCATAAAGCAAACCACGTTATCTATGCCTTGGAGTATCTGATCCATTGTGTGCTTAAAAACAGCTGGAGCTGTCGAAACACCATAGGCCAGGTGGTGATAACGGAAAAGACCCTTGTGGGTGATGACTGTCAAGTACTGCTCTGACTCAAGATCTAGAGGTAACTGTTGGTATGCAAATGACAGATCAAGTGTGCTAAACACTTTGCCTCCCACTAGGGTGGCAAACAGATCCTCAGTATTTGGCAGTGGATATTCTTCCGGAAGGATACAGCGATTAATAGTGACCTTGTAATCACCGCACACTCTGACAGAACCATCTTTTTTGGGAACTACCACTATTGGTGCTGCACAATCACTTCGTTCCACTTGAGTGATGATTCCATGTCTTTGTAGCCGCTCTAACTCCTTCTCTACTACTTCCCTCAGAGCATATGGGACAGGTTGCGGCTTATGGAATATTGGTTTATCTCGCTCCACTCGGATTCTTGCCTGGAAATCTCTGATCTTTCCATAACCATCTTTAAAAAGATCCTTATGGTTGTCCAAAACAGCTTTGAGAGAGAGCTGAGTTGATATCTCTTGTTTTAGGCTGAAAATCTTACCCCAGTCCAGTTTAATCTTCTGGAGGCAATTTCGTCCCAGTAATGGAGTTTTGTCACCCTTGACTACCATCAATGGCAGTGTCCACTCATTTCCATTGTACTGGACTGGCACTTGGATTTCTCCCAGCACTGGAATTGTATCACCAGTATACGATGAGAGATGAATTTCCACTGGCTGCAAGGGGCAGTCAAGTAGGAGCTCTTTGTATACCGATTCTGGAATTAGAGATACAGATGTGCCAGTGTCAATCTGCGTAGTTACTGTCTTCCCTGAGAGTTCCAGTTGCAGATATAGGTCATCTTTCTGTCCTTGAGCAGTGTAAACTGTGAAAAGTTCAAATGCATCCTCGGAAGCACTTAATTCCTCGGTTGTGGCTGTCACTAACTGGGCTTTAACAGCTTGTTTACTGCTTTTGCAGACCTTTTTTTAAATGGCCTGTTTTACCACATGCATGACATATTGCAGTGCGGAAATGGCATTCCTGTGGCTGATGACCCTCTCTACCGCAACGATGGCAAGTCATTTTTCGTCTGGCTGAAAAGCTCTGTGCCGATCTACTTGATGCAGCGAGACTTGAATGAGAAAACCCTTTCTGCAGTTTGTCTTTCTGTTTTCCCCGTGAATAGCTGACTACACCGTGAACACCAGCACTGGAATGGTCAGCACGTTGTCAACTCCTTTGTATCCTTGTATGCCAGTTCCAAGCCAAGAGCAATTTCACAGGCTTGTTTAAAAGTCAAATCCTTGTCAGATAAGAGACGCTTACGGTAAGCTTCGCCTGACATACCACATACAAACTGATCCCTCAGTGCATCATTGATGAACTGGCCAAACTCGCATGTGCTAGCAACTCTTCTAAAATCAACAATATAGTCTGTTAATGTTTCACCTTCTTTTTGATATCGTCTGTGAAATCGGAAGCGTTCGGCGATCAGTATTGGTTTTGGCTGAAAATGCAGTGACAATGTTTCAGTCATTTCTTTATATGTCAGAACTTTCCTTGGCTGACTCAAATTCTTCAGTAGTCCATACTCTGTGGGACCCAAGACACTCAGAAACACGTCTGCTTTCTTTTCTGCAGCAATGTCATTTGCTGCAAGCCACCTTTCAAATCGCTCTAAGTAAGTTTCAAAATCTTCTTTCTTACTTTCAAATTCAGGAACTCTGCCAATCATTGCCATTTTGCTGTCACTTTCTGTTGTTTATCACCTCCGTGCAATTCTGAATTTTTATTTATTTATTCCTGTTTATTTTCTCTGTATCCGTTTCCTTGTACTTGCAATTTCTTCACGAAGTACCTACAATGGCCACTAGATGCCAATCTTCCGCTTTTCTGGAGCTGCAGCCTGACTTATCTCCGCCATCAAGCTATGCGATCCGTTGCAGACTTTCAGTTTCTAGTTGCTTCAAAAACTGGCGAACAATTTCTGTAGTATTGCAAACTCACTTGCACATGAACTACTATCACTTTGCTTCACTGTGGAATCAATATCCACTGTAGTATTTTATGGGAGAAAAGACAGAGAGACACGGAGCTATAACATATGCCGTCTTTACTGTTAATTAATTTCGTCAGCCT